AAGTAACTGTGTCAATTCCCATTTTGAATTTGATTCCCCATAATTTAATCCCACCCCTCTCCCGAACACCCTAGCATTTACTTCTTTTACAACCCCATCTATAAATATATTAAACAACCATGGTGACATTACACATCCCTGTCTAAGACCTACTTTTACCGGGAAGTATTCTCCCTCTCTTCTACACACCCTAACCTGAGCCTCACTATCCTCATAAAAGCTCTTTACAGCATTTAGTAACTTACCACCTATTCCATATACTTGCAACATCTGCCACATTGCTCCTCTATCCACTCTATCATATGCCTTTTCTAAATCCATAAATGCAATAAAAACTTCCCTACCTTTATCTAAATACTGTTCACATATATGTTTCAATGTAAACACTTGATCTACACATCCCCTACCCACTCTGAAGCCTCCTTGCTCGTCCGCAATTCTACATTCTGTCTTACCTCTAATTCTTTCAATTATAACCCTACCGTATACTTTTCCTGGTATACTCAGTAAACTTATTCCTCTATAATTTTTACAATCTCTTTTGTCCCCTTTCCCTTTATATAAAGGGACTATACATGCTCTCCGCCAATCCCTAGGTACCTTCTCTTTCATACATTTATTAAACAAAAGTACCAACCACTCCAACACTATATCCCCCCCTGCTTTTAACATTTCTGTCATGATCCCATCAGTTCCAGCTGCTTTACCCCCTTTCATTTTACGTAATGCCTCACGTACCTCCACCACACTTACATTCTGCTCTTCTTCACACCTAAAAGATGGTATACCTCCCTGGCCAGTGCATGAAATTACCGCCTCCCTTTCTTCCTTAACATTTAAAAGTTCCTCAAAATATTCTCGCCATCTACCTAATACCTCCCTCTCCCCATCTACTAACTCCCCTACTCTGTTTTTAACTGACAAATCCATACTTTCCCTAGGCTTTCTTAACTTGTTTAACTCACTCCAAAATTTTTTCTTATTTTCATTAAAATTTCTTGACAGTGCCTCTCCCACTCTTTCATCTGCTCTCCTTTTGCACTCTCTCACCACTCTCTTCACCTTTCTTTTACTCTCCATATACTCTGCTCTTCTTATAACACTTCTGCTTTGTAAAAACCTCTCGTAAGCTACCTTTTTCTCTTTTATCACACCCTTTACTTCATCATTCCACCAATACACTCCTCTTTCCTCCTGCCCCCACCCTCCTATAACCACAAACTTCTGCCCCACATTCTAATACTGCATTTTTGAAACTATTCCAACCCCTCTCAACCCCCCCACTACTCATCTTTGCACTAGCCCACCTTTCTGCCAATATTCGCTTATATCTCGCCCGAACTTCCTCCTCCCTTAGTTTATACACTTTCACCTCCCTCTTACTTGTTGTTGCCACCTTCCTCTTTTCCCATCTACCTCTTACTCTAACTGTAGCTACAACTAAATAATGATCCGATATATCAGTTGCCCCTCTATAAACATGTACATCCTGGAGCCTACCCATCAACCTTTTATCCACCAATACATAATCTAACAAACTACTTTCATTACGTGCTACATCATACCTTGTATATTTATTTATCCTCTTTTTCATAAAATATGTATTACTTATTACCAAATTTCTTTCTACACATAGCTCAATTAAAGGCTCCCTATTACATTTACCCCTGGCACCCCAAAATTACCTACTACTCCCTCCATAACATTTTTACCCACTTTAGCATTGAAATCCCCAACCACCATTACTCTAACACTTGATTCAAAACTCCCCACGCATTCACTCAACATTTCCCAGAATCTCTCTCTCTCCTCTACACTTCTCTCTTCTCCAGGTGCATACACGCTTACTATAACCCACTTTTCACATCCAATCTTTATTTTACTCCACATAATCCTTGAATTTATACATTTGTAGTCCCTCTTTTCCTGCCATAGCTTATCCTTCAACATTATTGCTACTCCTTCTTTAGCTCTAACTCTATTTGAAACCCCTGACCTAATCCCATTTATTCCTCTCCATTGAAACTCTCCCACCCCCTTCAGCTTTGTTTCACTTAAAGCCAGGACATCCAGTTTCTTCTCATTCATAACATCCACAATCATCTCTTTCTTATCATTTGCACAACATCCACGCACATTCAGACTTCCCACTTTGACAATTTTCTTCTTCTTATTCTTTTTAGTAATCTTTACAGGAAAAGGGTTACTAGCCCATTGTTCCCGGCATTTTTAGTTGACTTTACAACACGCATGGCTTACGGAGGAAAGATTCTTATTCCACTTCCCCATGGATATAAAAGGAAAAGTAATAAGACCAAGAACTATTAAGATAAAATCAAAGAAAACTCAGATGAGTGTGTATAAATAAACGTGTACATGTATGTGTAGTGTGACCTAATTGTAAGTAGAAGTAGCAAGACATACCTGTAATCTTGCATATTTATGAGACAGACAAAAGACACCAGCAATCCTACCATCATGTAAAACAATTACAGGCTTTCGTTTTTACACTCACTTGGCAGGACGGTAGTACCTCCCTGGGTGGTTGCTGTCTACCAACCTACTACCTATAAATATAAATATAAATATATATATATAAATATAAATATATATATATAAATATAAATATATTATATATATATATATATAATATATATAATATATATATATATATATATATATTTTTCTTTCTTTCAACACACCGGCCGTATCCCACCGAGGCGGGGTGGCCCAAAAGGAAAAACGAAAGTTTCTCCTTTTACATTTAGTAATATATACAGGAGAGAAGGTTACTAGCCCCTTGCTCCCGGCATTTTATCGCCTCTTACAACACGCATGGCTTACGGAGGAAGAATTCTGTTCCACTTCCCCATGGAGATAAAGGAAATAAACAAGAATAAGAACTAGAAAGAAAATAGAAGAAAACCCAGAGGGTGTGTATATATGTGCTTGTACATGTATGTGTAGTGTGACCTAATTGTAAGTAGAAGTAGCAAGACATACCTGTAATCTTGCATATTTATGAGACAGACAAAAGACACCAGCAATCCTACCATCATGTAAAAACAATTACAGGCTTTCGTTTTACACTCACTTGGCAGGACGGTAGTACCTCCCTGGGTGGTTGCTGTCTACCAACCTACTACCTATAAATATAAATATAAATATATATATATAAATATAAAATATATATATAAATATAAATATATATATATATATTTTATATGTATATATATATATATATATATATATATATATATATATATATATAAAAATATATATATATACACACACACACACACATATATATATATATATATATATATATTATATATATATATATATATATAAAATATATATAATATATATATATATACATATACACATTATATAATATATATATATATATATGTATATATATATATATATATATATGTATGTATATAAATATATATATATATAATATAAATATATATATATATATATATATATATACATACCACACCACACACACAAAATATATATATATATATATATTTATATATAATATAAAATATAATATATATAAATATAATATAAATATAAAATATATATATAATATATATATATATATATATATATATATATATATATTATAATATTATGTATGTATTATTATTCACCATATGCAGAGAAACTGAGGGATCATTCTTTACCAATACATTCCACAAATCTCTCTAACTTGCAGTGGTAAACTGTATGGTAGACTGTTCATGATGCAAAGAATTGGAGCTACCTTCCTATTATAGGAGGGCCCCGCTCTACGCCACTTTGCTTTACGGAGATTTGCTAATATGGACATTTCAAATTATGACCAAAAATTTGTTCATACAGCTCCCTAATTTGCTATTACAGCATCCACATACCACTCTGTTTACATTCTCCATGAGCTCCGTGTCTCTCGATTATGCCTGGAAACTTTTCAAAAATAAAGGTTTTTCAAAGTTATTGTGCATATTATATATACTCTGATAATTGCACTTGTGTGTACCTGTACCTAAATAAACTTACACTCTGGTGTGCAGGTACACATTAAAATCAATAAGTGTCTCACTACTGTTGAAGATGCAATAAGCATTATAATAATACAGTATACACATAATGTGGGAGCAAGGGGCTAGTAACCCCTTCTCCTGTACAAATTACTAAATTTAAAAAGAAAAACTTTCATTTTTCTTTTTGGGCCACCCTGCCTTGGTGGGATACGGCTGGTTTGTTGAAGAAAAAAAAAATGCATACTGTATACAAATACAGTGGACCCCCGTATAACGATTACCTCCGAATGCGACCAATTATGTAAGTGTATTTATGTAAGTGCGTTTGTACGTGTATGTTTGGGGGTCTGAAATGGACTAATCTACTTCACAATATTCCTTATGGGAACAAATTCGGTCAGTACTGGCACCTGAACATACTTCTGGAATGAAAAAATATCGTTAACCGAGGGTCCACTGTATATATATATATATTTTTTTTTTTAACAAACTGGCCATATCTCACCAAGGCAGGGTGGCCCAAAAGGAAAAACGAAAGTTTCTCCTTTTAAATTTAGTAATATATACAGGAGAAGGGGTTACTAACCCCTTGCTCCCAGCATTTTAGTCACCTCTTACAACACGCATGGCTTACGGAGGAAGAATTCTGTTCCACTTCCCCATGGAGATAAGAGGAAATGAACAAGAACTAGAAAGAAAATAGAAGAAAACCCAGAGAGGTGTGTATATATATGCTTGTATATGTATGTGTAGTGTGACCTAAGTGTAAGTAGAAGTAGCAAGACGTACCTGAAATATTGCATGATTATGAGACAGAAAAAAGGACACCAGCAATCCTACCATCATGTAAAAGAATTATAGGCTTTCGTTTTACATATAAATATATACAGTAAATACATACAAAAGCAGTGTTATTATATCAAATTCTTTCAATGGATACTTCAACGTATGTTGCTGCTAAGTTACCTTTGGTGACTCAAAACATGCTGGACAATTTTCAGGAATAACTGGCAGCTTCTTGGACTCGGCAAATCTTCTTAAATCTTTTTCTCGTACATAGACAAAAGGACGAATAACTCGCAGATCGCCTTCCCTATAGCAAAAAATATTCTCATATACAATATTCTTTTCATTTTCTTTGGCATGATTAATTTTACCTAAATCATCCTATTCTTAGTAGTACAAATTACACACTGATCTGATAAAAAGTCAATGCTGATTATCAGTAATGCAGAAAATTATGTGCTAGGACTAGAATTAGGTAACATTTAAGTGTTAAGAAATGCTCTTTATAGTAAGTGGCTTTCAGTTGAAAATGCAAGTGCATCAAATTGCTTTTCTATTATAATTATATCAAAACTGTAACCAAATGAAATGCAAGCCTAACTAATGTAACTTTCTATGTATGTTTAGAAGAAATAATGATTTAAATTTATTACTTTATTTATATTTTATTTAGTGAAGTTTAAGCAATGAATCAGAGATACAATTAATTTGTCACTAGTGTACACAGTACCATTACTATTTTAGAAAGATGCATCACACTAAGCTTATGCTAAATTTATGAACAATTAAAGTTAAAAATTTGAATACCTAATTGTACACATGAATTAATTTTTAACAACAATAACCTAGAGGTTTTTGAATGGAGACAAATGGTATTTGGGACCTGACGATCTGTTGGAGTGTGAGCAGGGTAATATTTAGTGAAGGAATTCAGGGAAACCGGTTATTTTATATAACCGGACTCGAGTCCTGGAAATGGGAACTACAGTGCCTGCACTCTAAAGGAGGGGTTTGGGATATTGGCAGTTTGGAGAGATATATTGTGTATTTTTATACGTATATATGTATATTCTAAACTATTGTATTTCTGGGCACCTCTGCAAAAACAGTGATTATGTGTGAGTGAGGTGAAAGTGTTGAATGATGATGAAAGTATTTTCTTTTTGGGGATTTTCTTTCTCTTTGGGTCACCCTCCCTCGGTGGGAGACGGCCGATTTGTTGAAAAAAAAAAAAACCTAGAGGTATTATATATGTATCAGCTGAGCAGGTTAATAGGATTTCTATATATTCACCTGACATTATAATGTGCTTTCATTGTGCGAAGCCTTCCATTGTGAAACACAGACATCATGAAGCTCTCGGCAAGATCATCCAGGTGTTGGCCAAATGCCAGAACATTGTAACCTTCACGTCGAGCAGTAGCATATATTCTGCCTCGTTTCATTCTTGAGCAGAAGCTGCAGATAGAGTTCAGGTTTTCTAAATCTGCAGCTTGCTTCAGAATTTCTGAAAGAGTGGTAAAATGTGGCAACCAGACATTAATACCATATTGATATTTTTAATATGTTTTTAATACTGTCCTCTAAGGATTTTATGTTTCTGTTGATATTCACTTTCGTCGTCTCTGCCCAATGTTCTCAGGACATTAATGAGAATGATGCTTGTCAAAGATAAATATATTTAACAATGCAAAATTCATCCTACATGCAAGGGTTAAGGTTACTGGGTCTGGAAACAAGATGTACAGCTAGGTTTCAATTAGTGTGAATAATGAATTCCGTAAAGTGGCTGCATTATTTAAATTAGCACTATTCAAATTACGTGTATGTACTTTTTGCACATGATTTGAAGAGTTTGGGGAAAAACTAGCATTAATTATTTTCGCACCAAATCGAAATTCACACTATTCGAACTCACATCAATTGAGACCTAGCTGTACATTACAAATGTAACCTGATCAGTTTCCCCAAAGACAGGATGCCAAGCTACTTCTATGTGCAGATTTAGAACATGTGTCAGGTGTAAATTATTTTTTTTATTATTTATATGCCATGAAGTTTTTGGCATTACCAATAATTTCAGTATCTAAAATAGAAACCAGAAAACTGAGTAAGTCTACAATTTTTCCAGCCTTAAATCTCATATTTTCAATGTTTTAACATACTGCAACTCTCAACACATTATTGAACATACTTCCCAACTACGTATTTAAATTGTGCGTGTGCTAAGAGGTTGAAGATTATCATGTCTTCAAAAGAGGTACTTTGAAGCTGAGGGGCTCTTGATTTTAGGAACTGGAGTGACTTTCCTCTTCCATAGATCAAACCTAATCACCTCCTATTCTCCAGGTGTTATATGACACATAAGAGTTTAGTGTTTTCTTGTAAATACGGTGGAACCACAGTTTTCATGATTAATCCGTTCGAAAACGTCTGATGAAAACCGAATTGAACGAAAACTCGAAACAATACAGTGGAACCTCTACTTGCAAGCATGTCCACGTGCGAGTGTTTCCAAATACAAGCAGTCGATGGGTCAATTTTTTGCTTCCACAAGTGAGCAGACCTCAAGGCAGGTTTCTTGACAATGGTGAGGGGCTCTTGCTCTTGATCTCGGGAATTGTATCTCATTTGTTTGTTGGACTATCTTATTGAAACTTGGGCAATGTATGATAGAAAGATGCTTCTTAACGTACACCAAAAATGAAAGAAATCTAAGCATAAATAATGGAGTTCACTTTTCAGCAATTAGCCACCCCTTAGCGGTAATTTTGAATGGCTTTTATGGTTGTATTCTCGTTTTTTTGGTCTCATTTGATAGAATGGAAGATATATTACAGAAACAGATATGATTTTAATTGCTTTCACGATGAAAAGTACCTTGAAATAGAGCTCAACCTAGGAGAAATGGTCCATTGCTTGGCTGTTTCAGAGTAAAATGATATACATGTATTTTATTCATTTTAGAGTATATATCAAGTTTGTATGTTATTTATATTGTTTATTATGTCATATTAGATGAAGTGAGATAGATAAATAAGCTGTAGAGTTGATATTAGCGAAATTATTGAAGTACAGAATTCTACTGGAACGGATTAATTGCATTTCAATTAATTTAAATGAGGAAAACTGACTCTGCAATCAAGCAAATTCAGTTGCGAGCAAGGTCATGGAACGGATTAAACTCACAAGTAGAGGTTCCACTGTATTTCCCACAAGAAATAAAGTAAATCCAATTAATCCGTTGCCAACACCCAAAAATATTAACAAAAAATACATTTTATGGAGAATAACTATAGTTATTCTCAAAAACTAGGGCATACGAAAACCGAGGTTCCATCGTGTAATAATAACAATAATAATAATAATAATAATAATAATAATAATAATAATAATAATAATAATAAATAATAATAAATAATAAATAATAATAATAATAATAATAATAATAATAATAATAATAATAATAGGAAGCAAGAGGCTAGAAACCCTTTCTTCTGTACAAATTACTAAATATTTGGGTCACCATGCCTCGGTGGGACACGGCCGGTTGATGGAAAAAAAAATTACAAAAGCATAAAGTACAGTACATGATAGTATAGCGCTTATCAATGAAGGTTCGGAGCCAGTATCATCACACCATATCACAATATGTTTCATCATTCCAGCTGAAGAAACCATGTAATTTGGTGCAACTCCTTCAAGGGGGTTGCTTTAATGCTTCTGAATGGCTCTTGATCTTAAAACTGAAGCTACCCTCCCCATCCTTGGATCAAACCCAATTGTCTCCCATTCCCAGGCACTGTATGACTTTCAAAAGTTTAGTGCTTCCCTGTAAATATCACAGCTAGGGTGCAATCATAATGGTTAAGGTCTTTCTAAATATTTCTTTTTTAGCACACTGGCTATCTCCCACCGAGGTAGAGTGACCCAAAAAAAACAGAAGAAACGTGCCCAATGTTTCACCCTTGCCAAAATTCATCCCTCATCCTCACTGTGTGAGCTGAGGATGTTATCAACTGAGCCAGAAAAGATGCATCCCTCTCTTTAGATGTAAAATTGCTTCTTAGTTTCAGTAATTTATGCAGAAGGGGTTACTAGCCTATTGCTCCTGGCCTTTTTTTTAATACTGCAGTGATTTTACTATCACAACTAGTATGGGCAATTATAAATGCTATACAAACCTTGCTGTTCATAGAAGTAAGGAATGTTTAGACTAGCCAAGTAAGGGATGAGAGGCCTTGGGTCATATGAAGCACTCTTAGGGTCCACTGTTACTGCTCCCAAGGAAAACTTGATTTCCCTGGCACCAGCATAAAACTGGTACTGTCGTAGTGTATGTAGCAGTGAGAGAGAATCCTTTCCTCCAGATAGACAAACTAAAACACTGTCGCTATCTTTTATCATGCCAAACTCTTGAAGGGCCTGAAAACCAAAGACACTTGTGAGTTACAATTTTTTTTTTTCCAAGTCAGCCGTCTCCCACCGAGGCAGGGTGACCCAAAAAGAAAGAAAATCCCCAAAAAGAAAATACTTTCATCATCATTCAACACTTTCACCTCACTCACACATAATCACTGTTTTTGCAGAGGTGCCCAGAATACAACAGTTTAGAAGTTATATTATTATTTTTTTATTATCACACTGGCCGATTCCCACCAAGGCAGGGTGGCCCGAAAAAGAAAAACTTTCACCATCATTCACTCCATCACTGTCTTGCCAGAAGGGTGCTTTACACTACAGTTTTTAAACTGCAACATTAACACCCCTCCTTCAGAGTGCAGGCACTGTACTTCCCATCTCCAGGACTCAAGTCCGGCCTGCCGGTTTTCCCTGAATCCCTTCATAAATGTTACTTTGCTCACACTCCAACAGCAAATCACGTATTAAAAATCATTTGTCTCCATTCACTCCTATCAAACATGCTCACGCATGCCTGCTGGAAGTCCAAGCCCCTCGCACACAAAACCTCCTTTACCCCCTCCCTCCAACCCTTCCTAGGCCGACCCCTACCCCGCCTTCCTTCCACTACAGACTGATTTCACCCCTTGAAGTTATTCTGTTTCGCTCCATTCTCTCTACATGTCCGAACCACCTCAACAACCCTTCCTCAGCCCTCTGGACAACAGTTTTGGTAATCCCGCACCTCCTCCTAACTTCCAAACTACGAATTCTCTGCATTATATTCACACCACACATTTAGAAGTATATACGTATAAAAAATACACAATATATCCCTCCAAACTGCCAATATCCCAAACCCCTCCTTTAGAGTGCAGGCATTGTACTTCCCATTTCCAGGACTCAAGTCTGTTTATATAAAATAACCAGTTTCCCTGAATCCCTTCACTAAATATTACCCTGCTCACACTCCAACAGCTTGTCAGGTCCCAAATACCATTCGTCTCCATTCACTCCTATCTAACATGCTCACGCACGCTTGCTGGAAGTCCAAACTCTCGCCCACAACACCGTTACCCCCTCCACTCATCCATAATTCTGCTGCCAAACCAGTATTTTCCTACACCTTTTCTAAATCTAAATTTATTCAACTTAAATTATTTTGTGTTGTTGAATCAAAATACTGTAGTGGAAGGATTAAAAAAATAATTCCCCTTAAGTGTCAATTTAATTTAATGAATGTACATGTACACCTTTCAAGAGGGGTGCCTTAATGTTGGTGAAGCAATCTTGATCTAAGGAACTAGAGGTACCATCCCATTCCTTGGATTTCATCTGACTGCTTCCTATTCTCTAAACACTGTATAACCCCCTATAAGTTAAGTGCTTCTCTCCCCTACCCACTACAATTACTATTACTTCCACTACCTGCACTACCTCTTCCACTACTATCTCCATGTCCTTCTTTTCATTTTTCTACCTCTCTTTCTCCCATCCCTGCCTTCCTCTCATATATATATTGGCTCCCTTACCTTCATGTGTTGGTGTGTAACTACTTAATGGTTTAACTCGATTGGAAATGTTATCATAAGTTTCTTTCTCCTATGTGTGGGTTATTTATGTATTGTTCCAGTCACGGTATTGTGACAGTTTATTCTTTATGAATACAGTGGACCCCCACCTCACGAACGCATCGCCTTATGTTAAATCCGCCATACGAAGCATTTGAATGCAAAAATTTTGCCTCGCCTCACGATAAAAAACTCGCCTTACGTGATTCGTCTGGGACGCGTCCCATGTGTGGCCTCAGCACCAGTGTTCACAAGCCAGCCAGTGCAGTCGCATCTACGCATACATTCGGTATATTTCACATTATCCCAGTGTTTTTAGTGCTTGTAACTGCAAAATAAGTCACCATGGACCCCAAGAAAGCTTCTAGTGCCATCCCTGTGGTAAAAAGGGCGAGAATTAGTATGGAATTGAAAAAAGAGATTAAGGAAATGTGTGCAAAGTGGGTTGAACTTCAAACCTTTGCGGATGAAAATCACCCTGACACAGCTACCGCAAGCCGTGTTGGCAACCTGTACAATGACAATGTTATGGCCCATTTTAGGAAAGTCTTAAAGGAATGGGAGGTACAGAGCTATATGGACAGATGTGTTGTCGACAGAGGTCCAGTGATTCTCAAGCTGTCCAGTGGCATTAAAAGAAGAAGGGAAGTAACTCCAGAAAGGACTTGCTACCTCAAGTCCTAATGGAAGGGGATTCCCCTTCTAAACAATAACTTCCACACTCTCCCCTCCTCCCATCCTATCAATCATCACCAGATCTTCAATAAAGGTAAGTGTCATGTATGTATTCTATTCTTAGTAGAGTAGTAATTGTGCATGTCTTCTTCAGTTTGTGTGTATTAAAATTAATATTTCATGTGGTAAAAAAATTTTTTTTTGCATACTTTAGGGTGTCAGGAACGGATTAATTTGATTTCCATTATTTCTTACAGGGAAAATTAATTCGGCTAACGATAATTTCGGCTTACAATGAGCTCTCAGGAATGGATTAATATCGTAAGGCGAGGGTCCACTGTATGATTAACCTCAGGTAGTAGGCTGGTAGACAACAACCACCCAGGGAGGTAGTACCGTCCTGCCAAGTGAGTGTAAAACAGAAGCCTGTAATTGTTTTACATGATGGTAGGATTGCTGGTGTCTTTTTATTCTGTCGCATACACATGCAAGATTTCAGGTACGTCTTGCTACTTCCACTTACACTTAGGTCACACTACACATACATATACAAGCATATATATACACACCCCTCTGGGTTTTCTTCTATTTTCTTTCTAGTTCTTGTTCTTGTTTATTTCCTCTTACCTCCATGGGAGAGTGGAGCAAAGTTCTTCCTTCATAAGCCATGAGTGTTGTAAGAGGCGACTAAAATGCCGAGAGCAAGGGGCTAGTAACCTCTTCTCCTGTATATATTACTAAATGTAAAAGGAGAAGCTTTCGTTTTTCCTTTTAGGCCACCCTGCCTCGGTGGGATACGGCCGGTGTGTTGTAAGAAAGAAATATATATACACACACCCCTCTGGGTTTTCTTCTCTTTTCTTACTAGTTCTTGTTCTTATTTCCTTTTATCTCCATGAGGAAGAATAACAAAATTCTTCCTCCATAAGCTATGCATGTCATAAGAGGCGACTAACATGCCGGGAGAAAGGGGCTAGTAACCCCTTCTCCTGTATAAATTACTAAGTTTAAAATGAGGAACTTTCATTTTTCTTTTTGGGCTACCCTGCTTTGGTGGGATACAGCCAGTTTGTTAAAAGAAGAAGAATATAATTAACAATAAAATGTACCTTTGTAAATAATATTGTGTGACTGAATGTAAAGATGCTTTAAGAAAAGTTGTAATGAGCAAGAATACAAATACTTACTTCAACTGTAGGATTAAATATATTTTTCGGAGGAGAATGCCACTTGTTCTGCACTGAAATGATCTGACAAGGAATGACATCACTTCTCTCAACAAAGCACTCCAAATCTTTACAAACTAATTTTGAATCTTTACTAGATGAAATAATATTATTATAGCTTTTCTGGGTGTTGTCTCTGTTTGACGAGATTGTCGTATCATCTCTGGCACCTTCACTTTCTTTCAGCATGTCAAGATTGATGCTTCTTCCTAAGGTACTGACATTCACACTAGAGTTTTCTTTTAACACAAAAGTATTTTCTCCAATCTTGCAAGTCTCATCAGAATCATTTCTTGTTGATAAATCTCTGTGATCTTCATTTGCAGCTCTGGTGATAGAAGAAAGATCATCCTGTTTTTCATTCTCACATCTCAGCCCCTTAATATCATTGCTATTGTCTTTCCTTTCATTTTGTAAGATTTTGTTCTCTCCAACAATTATTTTCTGCTGCATGTTGGCATTTTCTTTACCAGCATCAGCTTCAGCATTTTGAATATTATAACTTTGCTTCACTGACACATTAGTTCTTTTAGATGTAAGTGAGCCACTACTTGTAGGCTGCCAAACAAAATCTGGCCTTATGCGCAAGTCCGATTCCTTCAGAGGATACGCCAAAGGCACAAAAGGAAGTCGAGCACAACTATCACGAGGTAGAGAGGCTGCAGCAGGCTGCTGAAGAGCCTCCTTGGCTTCACTTGGAAGTAAGAACCAACGTAAATGAGCCGCTGCTTCCCGAAAAAGGATGACATCTTCTGGAACTTGACGTCTTAAGGCTGCCTGAAATATCAACAAAAAAATTATAACAAAATAATTTGAATAACAATTTGCTCAAAATTTTTCTACTTGCATGTAATATACAGTATTTCAATTTGTGTCAAAGTTCATTTTTTTTTACATTTTGGTACTGTACTAAGAAATTAATATTAAAGTTCTACTTATATAATTCAAAACAACAACACTAAGTATGTACTATGATGATAATGGCTATTATTAATACTACTACTACTACTTGCAATAGTAGTTCAATGGTTAAGAGACAAGTCCTGCAGTAACTTTTTTTGCTAAACAAATACTGTGGCTCTAGTTCTTATGAGAACCACAAAACTGTCTTTGGTAAAACAATACTGAACATTGCTAAAGGCAGTATATATGAGGCAGACAGTCCCACCACAACCAGAAGACAAAACACCACTATAAAGAACCAAAAGTAAGAGACCTAGAATAAAAAATTGTAAGTTGAGGGAGACAAAGAAGCCGTAGCACGTTGTGAGTGGGCAGACATGGAAGAAGGTACAATGCCCTCAAGAGTGTCTTACATATCAGTAGCTGTATGATCAGAGACAGTGTAGGAGACTGTTCTGAAGATTAATGCTTGTGAGAGAGTGGTATGGCAAAAGCCTCTATAAAAAGTTATACTGCTTACTGTCACCATATGAGACATCAGGGACAGCATTTGAAATTGGAGATGGTAAAATAAAGTGTGAAGGTGACACTATGGCCAGTAAAGCACATAAATGTGAGGCCACATTTATCATCATTAAAACTTCTCCAGCTTTACAAGGCTGGAGAACAAAAAACTGTGTTCAAAATTCTTAGTTGAAGATAGACTCTAATGGTTATGTTGACCAATAGGAATGTGAATGGGAGCAGTATTTGTAGGAGTGGGAAATGTTAAGTGTACTGGAATGACTAGGGGTGGCAGTATCTGTGGAAATATAAAGACAAATATGCCAGCTGTTGGAGATCTTCCAGAAATTGGTAATTCACAGACCTGGTTTCAAGCCTCAAGATTCCAGAGTGAGTAACATAAAAACACATACAATATACATATTATTATAAAATAAAAGCATTGGATCTCAGAATTCAGCGACACTGCCTACCAGGTAATAAGGGTACTAATCATGGGCTAACATGGAAAGAGCTCCAGTATTCTCAGGCAAAACCCTGTGATTCAAAATTTTCCCATTAAAATGCAAAAGAGCCCTTCTCTAAAGTGCCTTCCCTTATCCTGGACACTCAACAATCCAACACAGGATAGTTCCAATTGATTTATAAGCAAGTTCTATGTTAGTGTTAACACTTGATCTATTCTTCACCAGCAGCCAAAGCAGCAGGGAATGTTCCTTTACCATCCATCCTACTGACACTGCCTGCTGAGTCACAGAAGTAGAACAAGCTTCTCTTTCCCAACACTGAGCATTTTTTACAAACCATTCATTAGTTAAAACATAATTAGGAAAAATTGAACTAGTAAGCTTGATCAGGACACAGAAAAATGAAACTTTACCTTGGTTGCTTGATCAAAAACATTTCTAGCTTTTTTTAGACAATCTTCATAACCTGGAGCATCTGCAGAAATATCCTTGCTCTGGTAGGAAAAACAACCTTTAGCATAAGAGATGTTCTGTAACCACAGTCTCTCTCTATACACCAAGTTAGTGTGATGCTTCCATTCACCAGTTTCTGGATTGAAGTTATACTGTGGAAGCAAGCGCCAACCATTCACACACACCTCACGTACAGCACTCAGGATGAACTCAACCTAGGGAAGAAAAAGTGCATGTTGTATTCTTTCAGCCACTTAGAAATATATTACATTTGTAATGTATTAATACATCCACAGCCAGTTGCAGTATTGTTAATTATGTAATGTATGTTGAAAATAGTGCTAAGAAAAATGGCACCCAAACATCCTAATACAGATACAAAACTGTATCTAATCATGACTTGCAAGCATTTAAGGTTTGAAGAGGCCTTCTCCAAATATTGCACAGACACCAGCTTTTTAATAAAATTTGCAAATTACAATACACACAGCTCAAAATCAATAAGAACTTTGTGCAATGCCCACCATTTCTGCTATTGTTTGGAATCCAACGATTTCAAATTTATGGCTTGTTAAGAAATCAGCAGACTTGCACTGCCTAAACCTATCAATCAGATACCATCATGTCCATAAGATACATCAACTGTTCAGAAAAGACATACTAAAGTAATTTCAGGGAAAAAATACATCATTTTAAAAATAAAACTGACAAACTGGTAATTACACGCTCCAATTTTTTCTAAGTAGGATATAAGAGTATTCTCAAGTTAAAGCATGGAAACAAAATCTTGGAATGGTATAAAAAATTGACCAGAGGACTTCAGTGAATGCTAATAGTTGCATGAACACTTCCATAGTTGAAGAATAAGACACTTGGGAATCCTTATTGCTGAAATGTATCACCAGCCAGTGACTTCTTTAGTCCATCACAGAGAAGAACGGTGGAAAATGAGGAGGAGTTTGAGGTAATCAGTCCCTCAGCCTAGAGTCAATGAATTCAGTTCATCAATCTTGACAAATGCACAGCATATGCGTGGTGTATTCAAACACCTGCTACTATTGATGTTAGTGAAGAGCTCTTGATCAAAGGAACTGAAGCCACTTTCCCCCTTCCTCGAATCAAACCTCATTACCTCCCAATCCTCAGGTACTGTATAATCCATACATGCTTAAAGCTTCCCATGAATGCTATTTTTTTTTTATTATCACACTGGCCGATTCCCACCAAGGCAGGGTGGCCCGAAAAAGAAAAACTTTCACCATCATTCACTCCATCACTGTCTTGCCAGAAGGGTGCTTTACACTACAGTTTTTAAACTGCAACATTAACACCCCTCCTTCAGAGTGCAGGCACTGTACTTCCCATCTCCAGGACTCAAGTCCGGCCTGCCGGTTTCCCTGAACCCCTTCATAAATGTTACTTTGCTCACGCTCCAACAGCACGTCAAGTATTAAAAACCATTTGTCTCCATTCACTCCTATCAAACACGCTCACGCATGCCTGCTGGAAGTCCAAGCCCCTCGCACACAAAACCTCCTTTACCCCCTCCCTCCAACCTTTCCTAGGCCGACCCCTACCCCGCCTTCCTTCCACTACAGACTGATACACTCTTGAAGTCACTCTGTTTTCGCTCCATTCTCTCTACATGTCCGAACCACCTCAACAACCCTTCCTCAGCCCTCTGGACAACAGTTTTGGTAATCCCGCACCTCCTCCTAACTTCCAAAACTATGAATTCTCTGCATTTTATTCACACCACACATTGCCCTCAGACATGACATCTCCACTGCCTCCAGCCTTCTCCTCGCTGCAACATTCATCACCCAATGCTTCACACCCATATAAGAGCGTTGGTAAAACTATACTCTCATACATTCCCCTCTTTGCCTCCAAGGACAAAGTTCTTTGTCTCCACAGACTCCTAAGTGCACCACTCACCCTTTTCCCCTCATCAATTCTATGATTCACTTCATCTTTTCATAGACCCATCCGCTGACACACCCACTCCCAAATATCTGAATACATTCACCTCCTCCATACTCTCTCCCTCCAATCTGATATCCAATCTTTCATCACCTAATCTTTTTGTTATCCTCATTACCTTACTCTTTCCTGTATTCACTTTTAATTTTCTTCTTTTGCACACCCTACCAAATTCATCCACCAATCTCTGCAGCTTCTCTTCAGAATCTCCCAAGAGCACAGTGTCATCAGCAAAGAGCAACTGTGACAACTCCCACTTTATGTGTGATTCTTTATCTTTTAACTCCACACCTCTTGCCAAGACCCTCGCATTTACTTCTCTTACAACCCCATCTATAAATATATTAAACAACCACGGTGACATCATACATCCTTGTCTAAGGCCTACTTTTACTGGGAAATAATTTCCCTCTTTCCTACATACTCTAACCTAGCCTCACTATCCTCATAAAAACTCTTCACTGCTTTCAGTAACCTACCTCCTACACCATACACCTGCAACATCTGCCACATTGCCCCCCTATCCACCCTGTCATACGCCTTTTCCAAATCCATAAATGCCACAAAGACCTCTTTAGCCTTATCTAAATACTGTTCACTTAAAATGTTTCACTGTAAACACCTGGTCCACACACCCCCTACCTTTCCTAAGCCTCCTTGTTCATCTGCTATCCTATTCTCCGTCTTACTCTTAATTCTTTCAATAATAACTCTACCATACACTTTACCAGGTATACTCAACAGACTTATCCCCCTATAATTTTTGCACTCTCTTTTGTCCCCTTTGCCTTTATACAAAGGAACTATGCATGCTCTCTGCCAATCCCTAGGTACCTTACCCTCTTCCATACATTTATTAAATAATTGCACCAACCACTCCAAAACTATATCCCCACCTGCTTTTAACATTTCTATCTTTATCCCATCAATCCGGCTGCCTTACCCCTTTTCATTTTACCTACTGCCTCACGAACTTCCCCCACTCACAACTGGCTCTTCCTCACTCCTACAAGATGTTATTCCTCCTTGCCCTATACACGAAATCACAGCTTCCCTATCTTCATCAACATTTAACAATTCCTCAAAATATTCTCTCCATTTTCCCAATACCTCTAACTCTCCATTTAATAACTCTCCTCTCCTATTTTTAACAGACAAATCCATTTGTTCTCTAGGCTTCCTTAACTTGTTAATCTCACTCCAAAAACTTTTTCTTATTTTCAACAAAATTTGTTGATAACATCTCACCCACTCTCTCATTTGCTCTCTTTTTACATTGCTTCACCACTCTCTTAACCCATGAATGTGTGGTGTGAATATTATGCAAAGAATTCACAGTGTGGAAATTAGACGATAGTGTAGGAACAACAAGGGTATAATTTAGAGGGGTAAGGAGGGTTTATTGAAGTGGTTTTTCATTTAGAGAACAGAGAAGGGTTTGTTGATATGGTTTTATTTAGAGGGTTGAGAAGGGGTTGTTGAACTGGTTTTTCATTTAGAGGGTTAAGGAGGGTTTGTTGAATGGGTTTTCATTTCGAGAATGGAGAGGGATAGAATGGTGAAGACGGTGTGTATACATCTATGGAGGAAGGAGGAGGAGGAGTAGAGGTCATCCTAGAAAGGAACAGAATGAGGGGGGTAAAGAAGATTACGAGCATTAAGGGCTTGTGTATCCAGCAAGCTTATTTGAGCGTGTTAGATCAGAGGGAGTGGAGACAAGTGATTTTTAATGCTTGATGGAGTATGAGAAAGATAATATTAATGAAAGGACTCAGGGGAACTGGTTAGCCAGCCTTGGGTCCTGGAGGTGGGAAGGGCAGTGCAGCATTCTGGAGGAGGTGAAGATGTTGCAGTCAGAGAGTCATCTGAATTGTGATGTCTACACATTTCAGGCAAGAAAGGAATGAATGAAAGATGACTAATTCATTTCCTTGTTTGGATCATCCTATCTTATGAGAAATAACAATAAAATAATAAAACAAAATTAAGTGATAATACAGTAATAATAATATTTTTTAACACACCAGCCATCTCCCACCGAGGCAGAGTGACAAAGAGAAGGGGTTACTAGCTCCTCGTTTCCGGCATTTTAGTCACCTTTTATGACATTCATGGCTTACGGAGGAAGGAATCTTCTTCACTTCCTCACAGAGTAATAATAAAAATAATAATAATAATGGGAGCAAGGGGCTAGTAACCCCTTCTCCTGTATAAATTACTAATTTAAAAAGAAAAATTTTCATTTTTTCTCTAGGTCACCTTGCCTCAGTGGGATACGATTGGTTTGTTGAAAAAATAAAAATAACAATAATAATAACAATACCCTGCTTCGGTGGGATACAGCTGGTGTGTTAAAAGATAGGAGTGAATAGAGATGAATGGTATTTGGGACCTGACGATCTGTTGGAGTGTGAGCAGGGCAATATTTAGTGAAGGGATTCAGGGAAACCTGTTGTTTTTAAATAGCCGGACTTGAGTCCTGGAAATGGGAAGTACAATGCCTGCACTCTAAAGGAGGGGTTCGGGATATTGGCAGTTTGAAGGGATATGTTGTGTATCTTTATACTTATATGCTTCTAAACTGTTGTGTTCTGAGCACCTCTGCAAAAACAGTGATTATGTGTGAGTGAGGTGAAAGTGTTGAATGATGATGAAAGTATTTTCTTTTGGGGGATTTTCTTTCTTTTTGGGTCACCCTGCCTCGGTGGGAGACGGCCAACTTGTTAAAAAAAAAAAAAAAAAAAAATAATAATAATAATAATAATTATAACAATAACAATATCTACCTCCTCATCTGAAGCTGAATATGGCAAGTTAAGGCGAACAAAACCCGGCCTCAGCACCTCCACATCGCTATGTTCATGTTGTCTTCGAAGGTGTGACCGATCTAATCTGCTGTCCTCCACCAGCAACTCCTCATAGCGTTGAGCGAGGTTTTCATTAATTCCAAGCAGGTCTTGTGCATAGGGCCCAGCACAAGCGCAGCCACCTCGGGCTTGAACTCCAAACACGTCATTCAAGACTGCGCAGATAAAATTGTGGTGCAGTAGGAAGCCAGACTGCAGATGTCGCACAACAAATGACAGAACTGGTAGCCTGTCGGGGTAATCAACATTACCCAGAGCTTCTAATTCTGCGACACTCCCAACCAAGTCTGAAATTTTCCTGAAGGAAACATTATTATTATTATTACTGGTATTATTATTGCTGTTCATGTATTATTATGATGGTGAAAATGTTGAATGATTTAAGTTTTTTCTTTCTTTTTGGGTAACCCTGCATCGGTGGGAAATGGCCAACGTGTTAAAAAAAAAGTATCGTTATTATTATTGTTGCTGTTGTATTATATTCTTGTTACTGTTTTTGTATATTATTATTATTATTATTATTATTATTATTACTGTTGTTGTATTATATTATTATTATTGCATTATATTATTTTTATTATTGCTGTATTATATTCTTCTTCTTTGTCTTATTATTATTATTATTAGTATTGTTTTTTCAACGTACCTGCCGTATCTCACTGAGGTGGGGTGGCCCAAAAGGAAAAATGAAAGTATTATTATTTTGTTTTTGTTTTTTCAACAAACCAGCTGTATCCCACCAAGGCAGGGTGGCCCAGAAAGAAAAACGAAAGTTTCTCTTTTTAAATTTAGTAATTTATACAAGAGAAGGGGTTACTAGCCCCTTGTTCCCGGCATTTTAGTCGCCTCTTACAACATGCATAGCTTACGGAGGAAGAATTCTGTTCCACTTCCCCATGGAGATAAGAGGAAATACACAAGAACAAGAACCAGAAAGAAAATAGCAGAAAACCCAGAGGGGTGTGTATATATGTACATGCTTGTACAAGTATATGCAGTGTGACCTAAGTGTAAGTAGAAGTAGCAAGATGTACCTGAAATCTTGCATGTTTATGAGACAG